AAAAAAAAAGGGCCTTTGTCTCCTGGTCTCCTCCTCTCCCCAGGAAGTGAGTTCTCCAAGGGCATTTCAGCTCCACAGTGGGTCCTACAGTGTCTCAGAGGCTGCTTGGACATTTTCCTTGGGGCGTCAGACAAATAAAACATATGTTCTCCCCACCTGTGGGAGTTCCCTGCTGCTGCCATTACAAAGAGCCCTGAATTAGAGAGCTTAGAACAACAGAAATGTCTTCTCTCCCACTTCTGGAGTCTGAAGTCCAGGTGTGGGAAGGGCTCCCTTTGAACTGAGGTGTCCTTTCCTGCTTCTTCCAGCCTCTGGCAGCTCCTGGTGGGGTAGGAGACTAGGGTCTGGAGGCAGGAAACTGAAGGCCAATTCCTGCTGACTTCCTAGAACTAAGTCAAAGGAAAACCCCAACTTTCCACGCCCAAGTAACAAAAGGACCAGAGGCTACTTCCTTTGCATGGTACCCCCTTTTCTGCATGACAGATGAAAAATGGAAAATACCTCTGATTGGTCCCCTCCTGCAACCAGTCAGGCTGGTCGTGGGCCAAATCTTCATTTGCATAGACGTGTAAATTTGTAACTTCACTTCAGCCTCTGATTGGTCACTTTCTGCAACTAATCAGACTGATCACAGGACACTACTTCATTTACATAGGGCGTGTACCAAGTAACCAGTGGGAAACCTCTACAAGGTATTTAACCCCCAGGAAATTCCGTATCCAGGCTGTTGGGCCGCCTGCCCACTCCCATGCTGTGCAGGGTACCTTTGTTTTCTTTTCTTTCTTTCTCCCTCTCTCTTTTTTTGAGATTGGGTCTCTCTCTGTCACCCAGGCTGGAGTGCTATGATTCAATCTTGGGTCACTGCAACCTCTGCCTCCTAGATTCAAGTGATTCTCCTGCCTTAGCCTCCCAAACAGCTGGGACTACAGGTGTGAGCCACCATGTCCTGCTAATTTTTGTGTTTTAAATAGAGATGGGGTTTTGCCATGATGCTCAGGCTGCTCTTGAACTCTTGGCCTCATGTGATCCACCCGTCTTGGCCCCCCAAACTGTGGGGATTACAGGCCTGAGCACCGCACTCGGCTGCTTTTGTTGCTTCATTCTTTCCTTGCTTTGTGTGTGCGTTTTGCCCAATTCTTTGTTCAAGATGCCAGGAACCTGGACACCCTTCACTGGTAACACCAAGATTTGAAGTTCCTTGGGTTGTGGACGCATCGCTCCACTCTCTGTCACCACACAACCTTCGTTTTTTTTTTTTTTTTTTTTT